GAAGATCAAACAGGGGTATGGTTTTGAAAAACAAAGAACTTAAACTGAACTTTCTAAAGGTTTATCCTTCTTCAAGCAGAAGCTTTGATTCTCAAGGGTTATCACTCGTGGCACACAGGAACTTGTCAAGATTAGGAAAACGGGATGTCAAGGCTAACTTTTATCTTTTCCATTACCTGAATCTTGCTATCTTTTGTAAATAAGACTTTCCCCCCCAAAAAATAACTTACTTATAAAGCTTTTTGGGTAAGTAAGGAAACTATTATTATGACTTTACTGGGTTTCAGATTGGTTACTTAATAACAAAACCAAACTGTATTAACCGAGGTGGTTAGACCGTAACAGTTGCCCGTCACTGGATTCCTCAGCAGATTTCACCAGCTAAAAAGTAAAGATGTCTCTTTTATTGTATTTTTAAAATACAGCATTATATAGAAACATTCCTTTCAGAAAAGATTGCCAAATAAAAGTCTAACTTTGCATAACATTGCTCAATTATTGAAGCTCTAGGCAAAGAAAAACCCGCACGGATCTTGTTCAGTTCTGTGGAAGAACTGTGCCTCTCCCTTGCCACTGCCTTATCTTCTGCAGTTTTAGTCCATAAAAACACACTAAAAATAAAGGGGCACTCAACAGTCTGAACTACAGGAGTTAAGAGAATGGCTCAAGCAGAGGAGGGAACCTGCACAGAATTGTCGTGTGGCCCAGCAGACTGATGGGAGGACGTGAAATGAAAGTGCACAGGGAGCAGGGTGACGGGTGGTGGTCAAGAAGAGTATGTGTTTGGAGGTGTGGACTGGTACTGAAATGAGTTCTAGTTCTCCCACAAAGGTACCTAAGTCCAGTACTCCTGTTAACAGAGTATTTGTGACATTTGCCAACTCATAAAAACAACCATGGGCTTCTTCAGATTGACTCATTTACAAAAAAGAAACAAGCAACAGCAACATCCTTTATAACGACAGCTTGTTTTTCAAAGAGAGAAACGTATCGCACAACAGATCTTCTCTGAAGAACAACAGCATTTTCCAGGGAGGTTATTCAAACTCAATAAGTCTAAATTATAAGATGTTGTCTTCAGAGCAATTAGCCCTGCAATTTCAGCCGAGCATTTGAAGTCTTGAGTACACAGAGAACTTGGCCCAAATAACTCCTAGGTGCTAGTCCTCGCTAGTAATAAAGGCTCTGAAGGGCAAAGGAAGGCATTAGCAACACTCGTGCAACTCCCTTAACAGGGTGTACGCATGTAACTAATTGGAAATCAGTAAACAATTCTGGTATTGAAGCACAAAGCAGATAATCTCACTCACACTACTTCAGTCATTTTCTTCTCATGTGGCTGGCTGGAATAAAACTGCTAAAATACTGTTTCCCTCATGCAGAAAAAGATCTAGGGGATATAATAGATCACAAGCTGATTAGGAGTCAACAGTGTCAAGCCATTGTGAAAAAGGCAAACACTGCACTAAGCTGTGCAAACAGGAGTATGGCTGGCAAGACACGGGGAGTAATCCTGCTCTGCCCAGCGCCGGTACGGCCCCAGTGGGGGCACCGGGTCTGGAGCGGGGGTCTCGTCCTCCAGCCGAGATGCAAGTCCCCGAGGGAGGGATGAGAATGAACAGAGGCCTAAAGCACGACCAGCGAGGAAGAAGAATGAATCAGACCTGCATAAGCTAAACAAGAGAGTGGGATGGAGGGGAAACGTAACAACAACCTGCCAAACACACAAATCACGGCTGCGGAGAGGAACGGCTCGCTGTCTGTGTGCGGGGTGGATAAGGAGTAACGGGTTTGGGATGGAGTTTGCAAGCCCTCTCAGGCAAAGCAAGGGTTAACATAGGCATTAGCAAGAAAGCAGCTGAGAAGGCACACAGCTGCAGGGGATAAAAACACTGGGAGAGGGCTATCAGAGGACCCCTGAAGGAGGGGGCCAAGGGAGCCTCTCAGGGCAGAGAGGCTTAAGGGATGTTGGGCTGGCTCCTTTAGAAGAGATTCTACCCTTATCTTTGGCAGGTTACCGGCCTCCTCGTTTGTATTGACTCAGTGTGTTTGATTATGAAGTGGGTATCTTTTTTTTTAGGCCTGCAAAAGAGCAGGATGGGGTGCTACGGTTTCATTTTTTTTTAAAAAAAAAAGCCCAACAGAACTTTTCCCATCTGGCCTAAAATGCGGCTGAAGTGCTGAATCAACAAAGGTAAGAAGCATAGTTTTTGCCTAAAGGAAAATATTTAAGCTCCTGCTGCTAACAGAGGATTTAAACTGAGGAACTGTACCTCAGGAGCTGAAGACATGAGTCTGTGGAGGAAGAGAGACAGCAAGGAGGCTCTCTGTCAGAGGGAACAGTCAGGCAATAGGCTCAATCAGCCCTAAAACTGGGGAGATGGCAGGCGTCAGGATCTCTTTGCTAGAGGGGAACGACCTTTGCCTGCCAAATTTGAGGTCTTTGGCTTCACTGCAGGGCCTAGGTTAGATACGAAGAATTTCTTTCTAAGGGCAAAGAAAGGGAGGTTCGCAATAAATCATGAGGATGTTATGAGGCCCCCATTGCAGAGGAAGGCCTTTGAGAACAGGCTTGTAGGGATTTGTTGGGAATGACAAAATTGATCCCGTCTCAGGACGGCAGAACTCCTCAAGGAGCTTCTGAAGTCCCATTCTGCCCTAAAGTACTACGAAGAGAAATATTGCATCCCTCTTTCCTTGCCAGTCAGCTGTGACATTTTATGAAAATAATGGCATTTTTGGAACCTCAAAGCATTCTTCGAATAGAAGTGGTTTCAAAACCAGCTCTAAGCTGAGTATTTACCTACTCTGTTGAATGATCCTTTCAACGTGGTGTGTTCTGGAAATACTTCAGTGCTGAAGCTTGTGGATTCAGTGACAAATGTGTTAGAAGAAAACGCTATACTCACTCCTGTCTTTCCAAGAAAGATACAACTAAATGAAGTTGCCCACGTGCTCCACAACATCAACGAACAGATTTGTTTGTAAGGATACTCTTTTACCCCCTCAGTTACAGTGTCATCTCTTCAACAAGAAACTAAACCTGAGACAACTTGGCCTAAATAACCCTAGTGATAACTTCCACAGGCAGTCCTTTTTTATCTTTTTTTTAAACTCCAAGTGAGATTTGTCTTCACTTGTCAATCAGTCTAAGTTGTCCATACTGTATTTTAGTCTGTGCAATTTTTGAAATGGCAGAGTTAAATGTAAAGAAAGCAAAACAACTTTCTAGATACAACGTCTTTCCATCAAGGTGAAGAGAAAATCTATTTGATAGCTAAACCCTCCAGAATTTTCAAGTTTTCAGCTCACAGTAATGTTCCTCAAGAGATTGTTTTATCAAAAATAAAGGCTAAAAACTAGTTTGATGAGAAATGTCTTTGGTTCTGTAATGCTTTTAGCTGTAGGAACCACTTTGCGTGCTGTTCCCCACCAGCCTGGAAATTCTTTAAAGTAGAGCAACTGGAAGTACCACTAGGACCAAACCATTTTTGCTTGCTTATAAATGAGTTTTTCCTGCCAGCGCAAGGAGATCTCTTTCCATTCTGACCCACATGAAAGAGGAATGGGCACTGAAACAATGGGCTATATTTTGAAAACTATTTAGTTGCCCGAGAACACAGAAATGCCTGCTAGATTTTTCAAAAGCCAGTAGGTAATGACTCCCACAGTGGAAGTGAGATCCCACCGAACAGCCTTTGCGTGCTTGTGGGCCTTTAAAAGTCTATCCAAAATCCCCCCCAAAATGAAAATCACATTTTAAGTAGATGCTTGTATTTAATTACCCTCTGTGGCCAGCTCCAGAATATAACTTTGAAAACATTTCTGGTGGTTTTGATTGGTTCTCTGTTTTCCTCGGGGAAGGAAGCAGGGTTTTTGCTCTGCGTTTTGTGGACTCTCTTCGCATAATGAGGCACCGGTCCCTGACTGGGACTTTTGTTTGGTGCAGCCGAGTAAAGCAATACTCTGCTACACTTTCTTAGATAAAGCCAGGCATGCGGGCAACATAAAAGTGCGAGCAGCCTTCCTCGCCAGGAAAAAAAAAAAAAAAAAGGCAAAAAAAAAAAAGCGATGATCATATTTAGCAGTGCTGTTCACAGCGAGATTAAACTCAGGCTGGATGGAGAGAAGCTGTGTAGATAATTTGAAATAGATTCCGGGGGTGAATTACTGCTTGGCTGTCTTCCTCACCTCCTCGGTTCTCAGATTTGTGTGCCAACAAACATTTTAAGATAACTCTGCTCTGTTTGCTCCTTGAATTGTCTAGCTGTTTAACAGGCTCTTCAGATAAACAAGGGATAATCTCAGGATTTTGCTCGACAAAGATTGCTTTGTGCAAATTTTAAAAATTCTGAATAGGTTGTTGTACAGGGCCCGGTCTTGCGATCCCTTCTAGTTGTGAATACTTTCACGGGAATAAGTGGTTGCACAATCATAGTTTCAGTAAGTAAATGATCAATGATGATACTATCGCCACCACCAATTATTTTTCCATTTTAAAAAGTTATTAAAAAAGGCACTGGTAGCACTGAACAGACCAGTCTCGACCAAGAAAAGCGCTGACTGAAGAGATACAAGCAAAAGATGTAATTAGAGAACAGGGGGGAAACTACAGGCACCATTTATTTAAGAAATTAGCGTCTCCACAGCCAGACCTCCAGCCCTGCCCGGGCCTGGCCAGCGCACCCCGAGCCGGGGCGGGGCAGCTCCGGAGGCGACACCGCACAGGCCGCGACCAGTAACGCTTTAAAACTTTAAAAAGCCACAGGGCAGCCTCCTGGAGCCACCCGCAGCCCTGCGGCTCGACCCGGGGCTCCCGCCGGCCCGACCGTGGGCGAAGCCGCCCTGCCCGCCCTCCGCTCGCCTCAGCGCCTCGCTGCTCGCCGCGCGCCCAGACTGTCGCGCGAGGCAGCGCCGCCGCTTCCGGCCCTTCCGGCCGCCTTCTCTATCGTCGTTACTCCCGCCGGGGTCTCCCTGAGGGGACGAGGCGGGAGCAGGCCCGGGCGCGGGGGGAGGCGGGCGGCCGCCGGGCCCCGCGGAGGGAGCGGGGCAGTTCCTGAAGAGATAAACCGGGGCGGGAAAGGGGAGCAACCCCCGCGGCCGTGGGTGTGAAGCAGCCGCTCGCCCGCCCGCCCTTTCCCCGGCCGGGAGCCCCGGCTCCTCCAAGGTGTTTTTGGGGGTGAGCGGGTCTCCCTCCTCAGCGAGGGGCGGCCATGGCGGAGGCAGGGAGGGCCGTCCAGGTGGTACGTGTGGGGCGGGAGTGCGGGCCGGGGCTCGGTAGGGAGTGGGGCGGGCGGCTCGGGGAGAGGAGGAGGAGGAAGAGGCGGCCCCGGGCGGTGAAGGCAGCCCAGCGAGCCCCCGCCTCTCAGCGAGCCTCCGGGGGGGGGCTCGGCCCAGGGAAGCAGCGGGGCTTTTCATGAGGGACTTTCGGCCTTGTCTTTGGGCTGAAAGCCCGGGCATGTTTGGCTCCGTGGAGTTTCAAGAGATAGTTTGACCATTTTCCTACACTACTTCGTTGTTTTGTTAGTCCCGGTGTATTTTTTAATGGTTTTTTCATTATTATTTTTTTCATTCACAAATTTGCACACGTACAACTGATGCGGCTTGGCAATGGTGTAGCTTTAGTGAGGCAAACATCTGAAAAAAGCACAAACATAGGGATCAGTGGGCAAGTAAAAATGATGAACAACTTCAACAGAGTCTCTGCTCGTAAAGGCAGGTCAAAGTTTGCGGCCTGAAAATCTCTCTGGGTTTATTTAAAGTGTCCCATATGCGAAATTTGACGAAACTAGTATGTTTCTGCCAACAGCCATGAGTTTCTCAATGGTTTGGAATAGTGACTCACATGAAAACATCATTTAAAAATAATGGTTTCTGACTTATATAAAATCTTCAGCAGTGTTAAAATTATGTCTAAATTTTTTTTTCCACCTTCAGCTATGGAGGCAGGTGGGAGAAATTCATGGAAACTGAAAATGTTTTCAGTTTGTAGTTGTTTATTGTATACTTAGTGAAGGATGATGGTGGTAATGCCAGAAACGAGGCTTCTTGGATGCAAACCTTCAGTTGCACAGTTTCTGACACTTTTCTTTTGTTGTTGTTGTTAAAAAGCCCCTCACATGTCTCTGGTTTTCAGTCTTGTGATTGATGTATTGTTTTTCAGCAGTTTAGGTGAGGGAGGAAGGGAGTTTTTTGGTTGAATAATACATTTGTAGAAGAAAGGGGGTTGAACTACCTGTTAACCATTTTGCATTCTGACACTTTTGCCACACATCAAAACTCTCTTTGCAGCAAAGCCAAGAATCATTATCTTCAGCTTAGTGATGGCAAAACTATGTTACTAAAAATACCTAAAATCACTCCAGGTCTTACTCTAGAATGTGTGAAGTTCAGGGAAAACCAGGTAGTACCACAATGGTCAAATCCAAATCTGATTCATTGTTCTGTGTTTTAACTGTTGTACTTGCCTCATAGGCCATGAAAACGCTCCTCTGTTGGATTCTGCTATAGATCAGCCTCAGCTAATGAAATTATGATTCTGACTCAGTTGTCACTCAGTTGATCTTGTAATGACAAAAATACATTAGTTGTTTGCATTTATATCCCTGTGTTCTCTCAAAATTACTTTGCAAGGGCTTTATGCATATTTCTGTAGTTCACTTTTATGGTAACAGTCTTCAACTATGTAAAAGGCTGCTGCAAAGAGAACTAGACTAATAATCTGTAATGGGATCAGGAAGTAGTAGCTGGCATAAACTGCAGCAAAAGGACTTCAGACATTGGGAAAACTATTCCAGGTGCCCCTTATGCCTGCTTTTAGAGATTGCCTTAGCAAGGCTGGTGTTTCTGTCCCTGGAGATTATGGTTTGTCAGCAGTGATTTAGCTGTAGTTGATTTTGTTTTGGGACAGAAGAAATAGACACAGTCTCATGAGGTTACTACCAGCTGTTTTTTTGACAATGAATCTGCACCTGTAAGTGAAATAGTGCTCAGGTTCATGTTTTTCCGTCTTTAAATGAATCAAGGAGATGGAAGTTTTTTGTAGTAGTGTCACACAATGACAATAGCCAGTTTATGAATGCCTGGTTCAGGGCAAGTACCAACTACAATTTTTAAGCCAGGCTACAAATGTAGAAATGAACTAGGGAGAAATGAAAGTGTAGCTCTGTGGTGTTTTTAATTTATCTTTGGCTTAAAAAAAAACCCAAACAAACCCCAGTAAACTGAATATGAATGGTAGAACCTAAAGGACCTTTAGTATACAATGTTAGAAGTACTCTGATATTTTAATCATGTTGCTGTGTACAGTTACTTGTATGGATTTGTTAATTGTGTTAATTTTTCAGTTTTTCACACCTCTGTACTTTATTTTGGCAGCATCTAGTTCAACATTGTTGTGATAGTTCTGTGGAAGTAGAACTTGCTCACGGTAACGTGTTTAGGAGAATGCTAATATGAGTTGTTGAGTTCAGAGTATCTGAGTGCCATCAGATATTTATGGATTATTTTATATGTGCTGCTGTTAAAGTACTGGTTTTGGTGTTTTCAGTTCAAACTAAACAGAGAGATCCAAACATAATCTTGATATTTTGCACTGCTGTCCTGACTTAAAACAGGAGTTCATTATGAGAAAAATGAAAGTTCCAGTTTTACAGTTTTCAAGCCAGTATCAAGCTAGTTTCTGATGGCATAGTCAAATTTTTACTATGTTAATTAGAAAACAAATTGGAAAATCAGTGATTTTTCTGAATGTGCAAAACTGTAGCTATTTTGTGTTCAAAGAATTGTAGAACCCTTTTCTTTCTGAATGAATATGTTAGATTGATTAGTATGAATGTATTGGGTTGTATTTTAATTGCCATCTAGACATAAAGGATATTAAAATCCTGAGTAAATTGAATATATTGGTTTAGAATCTCAGATTTTTGCTTTTTAATCTCAAAGTATTAATCTGAGACAATTCTGAGAAATAGTATTTTTTTTATCTGTATGTTGTATTTGCAATTGTGTGGTAATCAGTTTAATTTTTTTTAAATTTCTCTTTATTTTACTTATTTATCTCTCCCAAACAGAAATCGAAGACCTGCTTTGCTTAATGTTTTAGATTTCTTTACTCTTCCTTCTTTTAAGCACCCTTTTTAGCCTGTTACAGCATCCTGCCAAGAATCAGGATGTTCATTCATTTTAGACAAGTATAGTTTTTTTTATTTTGCTCTGAAATGTTAAGTTTCTTGTTAATCATTGTACCATGTATCATACTCTGCAGTACCTGTGTGCACGTACACCGTACTCTATAAAGAAACCAAGAATACACTCGTCAATGTCCACAAAATCTTCCTACTCATTTGTACATTTGCATGCACTCGCACAATGTACACGTAGTCACATGTCAGGTTGTCACACGTTCACAATAGGAACTAATCCTCTGTTTCTTCAAACCATGGGTTTATGGTTACACCACACAGTAAGGAGTTTAAGTTCTGTTTCAAGGAACTTAAAATGTCCCAAAGACTTTTTACAAGTGACTTAGGCTCTTTACCTATAGTTCAGCACCTATAAGCAATCTTAACAGGTAGGGGTTCGGACTCTCCCTTGACAAACACAGCCAGTGTATTACTGCACTAATGTCTGAGGACTTTACATTCTGTGAATGGAATGTATTCTTTTTGAGATACTGAAAGAATTTGGTGTTGACTTTTTTTGGGTAATTGGAACTGTAACTCAACAGAAAAATCCATCATCTCTGATTTCTAACCAATTTTAAAATATTTCAGATAAGTTTTCATGCTTTGTGTGTGTGTGGCTGAACCGATAGAGGAAAGCCTGTGATTGAAATGGTAGACTATGGAACTGTCATACATCATCTAATGTGCTAATAGCAGTTTTAGACAGAATAATTTTTAAGAACTTGGCTAGAACATCTCCAAATTTGGTAGCAAGCTTAAAGAAAAATTGATAAGTAAGATACATGAACGGAAGACAGAAGTAAAAAGTTTTGTAAGAAATGCAGGAATACTAGAAACAGGTTAGTGTGGTGGTGTAGATGTTTTGTTAGCATTTTTGGTTCAGTAGTCTCTTTTGTTTCCTTGGAAAAAGAAAAAAGACCAAGATCTACCAGAAGCCATCTTATAGAACTTGAAGAAAAATTTGATAGAGAAGAAAGCAAATCATATATTGATAATGAACATTAAAAATCTGTCCCTGCCCATTTAAGGTGCATTTTTCATGAATGTTCATTTCTGAAGGATCGAGCACTTCCCCTTTTTAATGAATATTCTTATACTGTAAGTAAACAAAAATAGTGCTTACTGACATACGTTTGGTTTTTTGTTTGTTTTTTTGTAGTCTGTCATTGTGCCTGTTCACAACAGTGAATGCTGGTTAGATGAATGCCTGAAGTCGGTTTGGGAACAAGATTTCAAAGAAACCATGGAGCTGTCAGTTTTTAATGATGCCAGTAAGGTATGTTTCAGACCTTAGTTAAAATATTGTCCAAGTAAATATTGTCTCTGATAGGAATTTTTGGTTTGGACTGTGTTTTGGTCACCATACAAGTTAGAATAGCTGCATCTATGTCATTGTTTTTCTAGGATGGTTCAGCTGAAATAATTGAGAAATGGAAGATCAAGCTGGAAGATGCTGGTGTTCCAGTAATCATTGGTAGTAATGATTCATCTCAACCTCGAGGCGGTATGTAGCTTAAGAGTGATTTTTTTTTTTTTTGAGAGTCAGGTTATTATTGCAGGCATCTTCTGTTTTTTAATTTGAAAAGTGTCTTTGTAACCACTTGCATTGCATGGAAAAAACCCAACACTTTGTTTTCCAGAGCTCTCCGTTCAAAAGCTGATTCCTATTTAGAATTTGGCCCTGTTGGTTTTGGCTGTGTAGAATTTGTTTATACATCCAGGAAAGAAGAACTTGGCTTAACACTTGTGCTCTACTCTGCAAAAGAATTTTGTTTAATTGTAGTATATACAATGTTGTTAATGCTTACAATTTTACTGTGGCTTTCTGATACCAGATGTATCTTCAGGAGATGAGTTTTAAGAAAAAAGAAATCAAAAATTTCTTACATAAAGATGTTAAAAAGTGAACGTGCATCTTTCAGTTTTGTAGAATAGACCCTGATAAAGAACATAATACGTTTTTGATATCCCTTAACGATCAGGTCAAAACAGAGGTTTCAGAAGAGTTTTGATGTGAGCTAAAAACTTTCACTAAACTCCTAATTATTTACACAAGGGCTTAAACAATATATTTACTGAGCTCCCAGATAGGTGTACAGTGTGATTCCCTATTGATTTACATGCTAATAGGAATTACACTTAGCCACTGGAGGACATAACAAACAAATCTCTCTAACAGTTTCTCTTTTGCTTGTTTCGGTTGTTTTATGTTTAGGTTTTTTTAGCAGAGGAGTTTACTAAAATGTCAAATACATATAAAAGTATATTGCTCTTTGGAGAAGCTGGTGTTGAATGGCACTGAAGTTGGAAGATCGTGTCTGTGTTCTGAAAGAGCAACAGGACAAAATGTGCTCACATTTTGTAGGGGAGCTGTATAACTTACGTTTCTATCAGTCTGGATTTTGTGACAATGAGTAGACAGGTAGGAATTGATATCAAGCCGGTTCCAAATTTGTGCCTTTCAAGTTATCTCACTTACAAGGCACATGTGGTCAGTTTCTGTTTTTTAACAAAATGTGCAGTTTGTAACTGGAAGGAAACCTAGGCTTATTACAGTGCCTTCAAAATCTTACTATGAAAAAGGCCAGTTTTGTTTCAGAATTTCATCCCCTCATTGAAACATGCAAACAAATTGGAGCTTGTGTACTGAATTTGCACTGTGGGATAGGCCCGTGGATTTATTTACTGTCATTTCTTTTGACTATAGGCTTCTTTAAAGCTGTTTTTTAAAACAGTTGTCAGACCTAACAATACTGAAGTAACACAGCATAACTGTTACTGTAAATATTTTTAGTATTTTAATATCTCTAGCATGAATTGGTGTTGTTTTGACAGTGCAACTTGTAATATTAGCATTATTGAGCTGGTGATGACAAAAGACAGGCAAGGCTTGTAAAGGGAATTTTTCTCTTTTGGGCAACTGATAAAGCTGGAGTTGAGCAAAGTCAAGAGCTGCTTGTGTTACTGGAAATTTATCTGTCGTCTTTCCCCCCCCTTTCAGAATTCTGAAGTCAGTTCACCTTTGCACTTTAGGAAACTGAAACTTAAACTGAGTTCAAATTGTGAACTACAAGGAGTATATTGTGCCATTAGAGGTATCTCCGATTATTTTTTGTTTAAGGTGCATTTGTCAGTGTTAAGATAGCTGAAACCTGAACAAAACTCTAATAAATTTGGGGTGGGGGATGCAGCTGTGAGCATTGTTTTAAATAATGAAATATATGAAATGCATAGTTCTTTAAAAAAACAAAACAAAACCAAAACCAAGCTTGTTCATGTGGAAGTCACTCTCGGGTCACTGTTAAAATGAGGACATCTTTTCTTCATGGTTGTTACATTTTAGGAGCAGGTTACTTGAAATCCATAGTATTTGTTTGCTTTCAGTGATTTACTTTTATTATGTTAAGGACTAGTTACAACTGTAAGGAGTCTTTCCTTTAAAAGAAGATGCTTTAGTACAGAAACAATGTACTAGTCAGGCTTCACATCTTCAACTATTTACACAAGATTAGGATTTATTTCTGATTCTTTTCTAACATGTAAAAGAAAGGGGGGGAACCTAGAAAAAAAGAAAGGGTCACTTGCCTAAAAAAAGGAAACCTTTTTCTTTCCAAGAGTGAGGAATGTTAATATCTCACTGAGGCTTAAGTTTTTACGGCTGTAACCATGGTAACAGGCTCTTTTCACTAAGTAAGCAGGCCTTACAAAACTCAGAGACCTGGCACAAACATTTGATTTTGTTCAGTAGAGTAATATTAAAGAAAAATTTTTACTTGTGCCAAACGTAGGATTTGTTGTGGGGAAATAATTTTTAATATCCAGTTTCTTCTAGGGGAATTATATTTCTCTCATTAATAACTTTTAAAATGTGTATTTTCTGCTTTCCCCTCTAAAAAAATAGCTGGCATATGAAAAGCTTCAGGATGGTTTCAGTCTTAATCTTAGAAGTATTTTCGAACTTTTTCTCGTACAAATATAAATATTTCATGATTTAAAGTGTTTTATTTGAAAATGGGATCTGAAATATTTCAGAAGGTTCATAGAGTAACGTAATTGTCATCTTGTAGCTTGCTTTGAGTCTCCTCCACTTTTTTTGTTACATTATTGATTCCTTGTACTTCATTATTTTCTTTTGAAGGTTGTTGAAATATAGGGCTATACTAATGAAAGCGTTGAAATCTAATTACAGGCAGCTTTACATTGGTAATGATGTAGGAGAGTATTGATTTGATTGATGTTGGGCAAATTTTGTTCTGTCGTGTTCTTTTACCTCTTGCTTTAGTTGGGACCTCCAGAGTGTGAGGGTTTGTCTTGTTTGGCATGTCCAGACCTGCTGACTCGCATCCCTTGTTTCCCACTAAAACTGCCCATGCCAGGATTCAGCTCTGCTGTTGTGGTAGCTACTGACTTTGCCAGCTGCTTTTTTACTGCCAATAGGAAGGAGAATGAGAGTAACTGTATATGTGACATTAGATATTCCTATGTGTGTAAAAAGCAGTATGTAAATATACTGTAGGATAATAAGCCCAAGAAATCCATGCTGAAGAAAAGTTAAGGTGAGATTTAAAATACTCAAAATACGCAAGAAAAGGGTAACACATTTATAAGGAAGGGCCTTTATTAGTAGTGTTCTGTTGGTCATTGACATAATGTTCCTTTGAGGCAGTAAGAAACGCAGTCATAAGTCTTTTTCTGTACTTGGACAACTCAGCAAAATAGCCAAGGAGCATGTGCCTTAAACCTAAGTGAAGCTTTGAGCCCAGTTAAATTTGTTTCCTGGACAAACTTAAACCTGTATCACAGAAAAAGAGTAGAGAATTACAGAAGTCTGCTTTTTTCAAATGCGAAATCAGGAACTTTAGGGATAATATTATTTAAAATTATCCCTTTCCACTTCATGGGGAAATTTTCTGGCTTTATGTTTCCAGTTTTCCCATACTTTCCCCCCAGTATTGCACATCTTCACATCATTTAGTTTGCTTGTCAGGGCAATCTTGTGCTGGATTCCCTGACTTGGTTCCATAAATACTTAAACGAAGCTTAAATGTTACATATATGACCAAGTGGAATTCATATAGTGTTTTTCAGAATAACACTGGGTATAGCATGGTCTCTTCTTATGATGCTGCAGGAGAAGAACTCAAAGACCAGACTGTTTTTAGTTAGACCTTGTCTGCATACCAAAATGATCCCAGGTAGACACTTCTACCTTGCTGATGGATTTCAGTGGGAGGCTGAGTTCAGCTTATTGCTGGTTGCTGCAGCACCATCCTTACCCTTGGCTGTCTATCCTGCTCCCCCACACCTTTTTTTTTTATCTGGATCTGCCATTTGCTTGACCCTCCAGTGCTGTCATCTGCTTCAGAAATTAAGCTGACAAAAAAAGTTTTCTTCTGGTTCAGCTTCCTGAAATGGCTTGGTAAAAGATTGAGCAAGTGTCAGTGGGTCAGAAAGTAAAAGATCCTGGATGCCAGTGTTGTCATTTGACTGAATTTATATCTCAGTGTGGTTTTGCATAGATGATATAGCATATTATGGTATGAATAAGCCAGTTTTGTGCTCCTGCTCTATATATGCTTCTGCTTTGGCTCTGTTACACGTGCCATTACATAAATGGTGCATGAAGTTTTTGTATTTACGTACTTTATATTTAACAAGTTTAATGGAACAAACTTTTTCCTGAGTCCTTCCAAGGACCTGCCCCCCCGATGGGAAGAAGTTGTTGCCTAGCAATCTCTTGTTCTTTCTTTGCCTTTTTATGATTTGTTACTATTTGTTATGACTTAGGAGGTGAACATGTATATACAGCCAAGGGTTTTCAGCATCTGCTCAGTGCAGGAGTGTTGGACTTGACCTTTAAAGGTCCCTTCCAACCCAAACCGTTCTGTGATTCTATGATCTGAGGTACTGGGTGTGAAACCCAGGTAGCTGGACACTTCAAGATACGTATGTCTTTGTGGGGGGCTAGCAAAAGTAGTCTAATTCTCTTTGGTGGTAGAATTCTAACATATACAACTAATAATCACTCAGAGAAGAAATAGGCATACCACATAAATATTTACAAATTACCTTGTTTTAAATATGGAAAAATTGCATACTTTACCTGATGCTGATTTTCGTATTTCCTTTCATCTGTTGCTTACAGTGGGAAGATTTAAAAAAATACAAAGGTGAAAACTACCTCATAATTTGATCTTTGTTTTCTCAACAGTTGGATTTGCTAAAAATCAAGCAGTAATTCAGAGCTCAGGAACCTATCTCTGCTTTCTGGATTCAGTAAGTTAATGCATTTTGTCTAACTTGGTTTTGTCAGTAAAACTCTTTTGTTTTTAATGTAGCATTTGGTTTGCCTTAAAGACAAGCTGATTAAAGATACTTGGGTGTTAAATGTTCTGGTTATTATTGATAGCTGTAAAGTTGTCTTCCAACCTGTGTAAGGCTGGAGGCTTTCTACCATTCTTTGATCCTATCAGATTTCACAAGCTCTTGTGAGCAGGGTTGGGCAAGGTTGGTATTTAGGTGTTTTCAGGATTTTTCTTTCCTGCATTCTTCAGAAAATTATATTGATGAGAAACTAAGAGCTAATCTACTGGCTTTTTGATGCAAAATAGGAGAGGTCTCACCTTCCATCCTGATTTTTTTTTTTTTTCCTGTCCTTTGTTGGATACCTTCTGTGAGCCCATTCAGCTCACTAACCCGCAGATAACTATCTGACTTTTTGCGGTTTAATACGCAGTGAAGGGTTTCACAACTGCGCATAGCTGATCTGAGGAATGGTGCCGTGTGGCTAGGATCAGGCAAGAAGAGCAGGACCTTTAAGGCTCACTGATCTCATGTAATTTCACCTGAAGATTGAGTCTTTCCTCTGAATTGGAGCTGAACTATGGTATAGTGTAGTACTGGCTGCTGAAAGTGTAGGTTATGTGCTGGTACGTTTCTTCTGACCCAAGGCAATGCAGTAGAAATTTCTTGTCTTACCATTTATGAAATTAAGTCATGTAGGTGGCTTTCCTGGCCTTCATTCTTGCTTTTATTAAGTTATTACTGTATTTAGCAACGCAGTATATCTTTTAAAATACATTTATTTGAATTTATCCTGGTTTCCCATTAACAGTTTGTTGGTTTGGGGTGTTTGTTTCACAGAGTGTATTTCATGTAAATCTTTGTATATAAGCTTATGGAGGGTGAAGCTTTGAAATGCAGTGTCTGATACATATGGCTTTTTATGGGTATTTCTTAAACAATATTTTGAACATCCATTGGATGCGCAGAATTCACAGCCATATACACAAATTATTGGTGTTTGGAAAGGTCAGATTCTCAGACATCAAAAAATAATTATTTCATATCCAGCACTGAGTGTCAGTATCTGTTTCATAAGCAAATTATTTTGAGGAAGTATGAGCACAGAACCCACTGCTCTGTTTTTGATCAGCAGACTCACCAGATTTTGAAAGAGTGTAGGGCCGTCAAAAATTATGCCATGATGTAATTGGAGTGATGCCAGTTTTGTTGAGATGAATGAATTTGGGGTCCAGTTCATTTTGCTTTACTTCAGGCACACGCAAACCCAAGTGCCATTTAATTTATATGAATTATTCCATGGATTTAACTCTCTTATGTTGTGAATCAGTGAGACTGTTTACATATCTAAAATGAAGAAAAAAAGTTAGATCTTACTTATGATCTGCCAAGTTCAGGTATTCCAGGCTTGGGTGGATACCACATTGTGTGGGGCATTCTGGGGAGTACATAGGATGAGTTAGGTATGTACTTACGTTGACTGAAGCTGAGTCCATGTATATGCTTTAGTGAGAAATTAACCCACTATTTTCTTGTCCAGTGGAGCTTCATGTCTTCTGTCTCAAATCTGTACAGAATAATTTACTGAGGTAAATTTTGGATTGGTCTTTCTTTTCAATCCAGACAGGTCTAGTTGTTTGTAAATCAATAGCAGTAAACTAGAAAATTAAATCATTTAAATGAAATTAATTGATATTTTTATAGAGATCTCTTCAGAACTGATAATTTTTCGTTTACCTTCTGTTTTTTATACACTATGCATCTTCATGCTGCTGTGGCGTTTCTGTTTGCTGACTAGCTGTGCAGGATAAGAAAACATCAGGGAAACGAATTACAACTGTTATGGAATGTAACAGCTGATGATTTTGCATTTCTGCAATAATACCATTAGCATAAGTTTATATTTAATATAATTAAGACCTATTTGAAGAGATTTGTGAATTTTATGACTTATAATGTGGGTAAGCATGAAAAAAGCTAGCAAGAGTTTATCTTCTATGCTTTTATATTCCTACTGTTGAGTTAGATGCTTCAAAATAGAAGGCATTCTGAACTGTCAGAATCTTAAACTTGATACAACAGAAATATTAAATGACTGGTGTTGCTTACGTGTATTTTCTAACGTTTCTCCTTATGACTACCATTTTTTGCTGAAAACAGATCGGAGGAAATACAATGAATGTGGAAACCGCTACAAGTCTGAAAATTGCCCAATATTTTGGCTGTAGTTAGTAAACGTTGTGTGATAATAGCTGAAACACAGATGTTGCCAGCTGTTTAACAACTCCGCTTCTACACGCCACCTACCTTCTTCATTTCAGTCACCAATCCAGTATCAAGCTCTCTAGGAAGGAATGTTGATATCAGCCGTTTGGAATGTGCTGCAGTATTGCCAGGGAATTGACCTTCAGAAGTGCAGCTACAGTTTCAGGTTTGCTATAGGTGGATGTGGAGGGAAATGGGGCTGGGGCAGTAGTTTGCATACGTTTCATATAGGTGGAGAAATACATTGTGGCTCCTTGTGTATTCATTTCACTTTTTTTGGAGTTAAATGAATGTATGAGCATATTTGGGAGCATCTCTGGAAGTACTGGCTCCAGAGAGACTGTTTTGCTTGCCATTCCAGCTGGAGTCAAGCTGCTTGTGTTATGTCTCTCAACACAGATTTGTGAGGACAACAAATTGGGAAGAAATGTGGAAAAAAAGGTTACAGAGCTCAGAACTGTCAGAATTTGATCAGCCTATTCTAGTATGAAGTGGCAGCTGTTTGACTAATAGCTATTATGGAGTGTTTTTGCTGTGGTTGTTGTTACAGATTTCACCTCTAAGCTACTGAGGCATTTTTCCCACCAGGAAAACAAGTAGAAACATTGAAGATACTTAACAAATTGTTCACATTTAACATTTGTAGTCTCAGAAAATCTTGGTCATAATGACAATAGAATTAGGCAATTACGCAAATACATCTCACTGTAAGCTTTACTCTTCTTCCAACTGTCTGCAGTTATGACTCTATCTACCAGTTGCCTTTTATTGTAATCTTAGTTTGTCAGATCTCTGGGATGGCTACTGTCTTTGTTATAATCATTTACCCTGTTGTAGCACAGCAAAACTCTTACACTAGAAATTCTGTTTTCTGCTTTGAATTGCTGTTTTCACCAACATTAACTTAAACATACCTATATTGTATAAAACTGTATTTCTTTAAGGAAGAATATGTTTTGATTTCATCCCAGTAATCCGTGTAGTTTCCCATTATTTCAGGTTTAATCAATGTGATGTTGGAGGATGCGTGACTGCTAAAGAAGAAATGTAAAAATGTGTCCTTTTTTGACCTCCAGTGTTCCAAACCCAGACATATTCACTTGAGTCAGGCACACTTGCTTTAGTCTTTTGCTCTGTTCTGTTGGCAGAGTATCGCTATTTCTGGGATTCCTAGCCAGTGCAAAGATGTGACTTTAAACCATGATGCCACAATGTCACAGCTTGCTAATAGTTGAAAATGATGTAGAGAAACAGTTAAGTTTTATTTACCAAAAGTGAGGGTGGACCACCAGAATCGGCGTTCCCATGTTTGAATTGGCAGCTGCTGACCTGGGCCTTTTTGTTTGTGAGATTTCCTTGTGTGATTTAAGTTGGGAATGTTAATTCTTAATTGCTGTGAAATTGCACGCTTTTCTTGAGTTTCAAGTTCAAAACCACTTCATTGGGGGAGTACTCATAAAGGTCTTGGAAGAACGTGGTCAGGCCTTAGCTGGCCAGTCTTGGTAGATGTTTCAGGGACTTCACCCTTCAAGCTATCTTTCAGTTATAAACAGAGCTGCTTGTTTTTACAGTCTCCCCATAACTTGCTGGTTTTGGAAAGGTGGATTTCTTGTTAGTTGTTGTTATACAGTACTCTACAGGCACTAATAAATTTTTAAAATATGGGGTAACATGGTTCAGGAGTGCAGCAGAGGCTGGGATCTACCTGGCTGTGGGGCAGGTCTGTGGAAAGAGGCCTGGGGATCCTGGTGGAGAACAAGCTCAATATGAGTGAAGAGTGTGAGTGAAGAGTGTGCTCCTGCAGCAAAGCAAGCCCACAGGATGCTGGGCTGCCTTGACAAGGGCATCACCAGCAGAGATGAAGTCATTATCCCACTCTACTCAGTGCTGGTCCAACCACACCAGGAATACTGTGTTCCGGTTTGGTCCACACTATACAAAAAGGATGTGGACAGGCTGGAGAAGGGTCCAGGGAAGGGCCACCAAGGTGATCCAAGAACAGGGAAGGCTTGGAAAGAGGCCTGGGGATCCTGGTGGAGAACAAGCTCAATATGAGTGAAGAGTGTGAGTGAAGAGTGTGCTCCTGCAGCAAAGCAAGCCCACAGGATGCTGGGCTGCCTTGACAAGGGCATCACCAGCAGAGATGAAGTCATTATCCCACTCTACTCAGTGCTGGTCCAACCACACCAGGAATACTGTGTTCCGGTTTGGTCCACACTATACAAAAAGGATGTGGACAGGCTGGAGAAGGGTCCAGGGAAGGGCCACCAAGGTGATCCAAGAACAGGGAAGGCTTCCATATGAGGAAAGGCTGAGAGAACTGGGTTTGTTCATCTTTGAGAAAAGTAGGCTTAGGGGAGACCTTATCACCATGTTCCAGCATTTAAAGGGTGGCTACAAAGAAGATGGAGACTCCATTTTTACAAGGAGTCACATGGGAAAGATGAGGGGTAATGGGTACAATGTAATCCTGGGGAGATTCCAATTGGACACAAGAGGAAAATTTTTCACAGTGAGAACAATCAGCCATTGGAATAATCTCCCCAGGGAAGTGGTGGATTCCCCAACGTTGGACACTTTTAAGATTCAGCTGGGCAGGGTGCTGGGCTGTCTTGTCTAGACTGTGCCTTTGCCAAGAAAGGTTGGACCGGATGATCCTTCCAACCTGGTATTCTGTGATTCCTTTCTTTCAAATGAACATCTCTGTA